ATCAGGGCACTGATCCCATTCATGAGGGCTCCACTCCTGACCTAATTATCCCTCAAAGGTCCTACCCTCCAAATACCATCACTTTGGGGGTGAGGCTTTCATATGAATTTTTGGAGATGTTACAAATATTCAGACCGTACAATATATATGTATATTTGTATATATGTATAAACATATGGACATGTACAGGTATATATGTGTGTGTGTATATATGTGTATATATATATATATAAATTTTTTTTGATTGGTTTGCTTGCCAAATCCTTTGAAAGTGAGTTGCAGGCATCACAAACTTCTCCTCTGAGTCCTTCAGCAGCACACGTTGTCCATGTTACTCCAATATCATTATCCTACCAAAGAAATTAACATTGATTCAATAAGGCCATCTAATGTCTGGCCCATATTCAAATGTCTGCAGTTGACCCTGTTTCCTTAGTCTCTGTTGCTCCCCCTTCTCTTTATATAACATCAAGTGTTTTGAAAAGTCCAGTCACTTGTCTCATGGATAAGGCATTTATCTGATGCATCCTGATGGCCGTTGGGTGAACATCTTTGGCAGGGGCCCCACCTAGAAGTGTATGTGCCTCCCCTTTGGTCACACTGGGAAGCACAAAGTCTTGGTGGTTCTAGGCTTCAGATGGGGCTCACCAACTCTGTTACAGAGGACCCTTTCACCCTTTGTGAATGCTAAGCAACCCATGCGGTGATACTTTGAGATGGTGTGAATGTCTTGCTCCCTCCCAGTGGTTTTTGCACCCTTTGATGACCCTTGGCTGGACTAATTATTACCGTGGGCATTGCAAAGTGCTAATTTTTCTAACCCTATTATTCCTTCCTTACCTATTGACTAGCACTTTCTATGATGAAGCGCTTTCCCCTTTCTTCCATTTCTTAATATCCCTTTCAACTCCTGGGTCTTTGTTGTAATCCATTCTCATCAGCACACTCATGTGCTTGGGGCTGGCAGGCTCCTGTGTCCCTTTGGTAGGCCACCACGGGTCTGATACTGGATGCTGACACCCCCTTGTTCTTTCTTTGCCCATCCTTTCCCCAAGGAATCCTAGTTCATTTTAGTAAGGTATGGTTCTGAAACAAAATCTAGGCACTTGTTGAAGCCCTTTTTGTTTGGGATGGTTCTTATCTTCTCTGTAGTTCCTGACACATCATGTGAACTCGAAGGTGTATTGAGTTTTTGAGTGAACACAGAAGGAAAATTGAAGATGATGCAAAGGCCCAGCATCTCAAATAGTCCTCGCAGTCCTGGTCCCTGATACCAGCATCTTCTGAGATGGGCCCTGGTGCCCTGGGCTCCCCACTTCCCTCGTGGGGGTCTGCCTTCACAGTGGCTCTGGACACTGTTTTGGGGGGCCCTCTTCTTCCCACACATACCAGCAGATAAGGCTCTTTCTTCTGGGAGGCCCATGTATACCCCAAGGGCAGCAACCTGGGATAGCCTGGCTCCTCCATGTGCCACACCCAGAGAGGGCCTGGGACGTATGGGTGGGAGGTTAGTCTTGTCCTCCTCCCGTGTTCACTAACCGTGTGGTGATGATGAATAGGTCTTTGTGGGCACTGAAGCCCGAGAGAAATGATCTCATGAGGTCACACAACCAGTGAGCGTGGTTCTTATGAATGTGGGCCCCTCATGATCGTGGGCTCCCTGTGAGCGTGGCTGGCCAGGACTAGCCCTATTGCCCTCCCTTGTAAGCTGTGAGGAGGTCTTTCTCCCCAGGGCAGGGATGTGGGGAGGTGGGTGATCTCTCCCTATCCCACGTCCACCTCAGCCAGGCTGAGGGAATGGGCAACTCCCTGACCTCACGTGCTGGCCAGTGAGTCAGAGGCAGCTGACCCCAGGTCAGGCCTGGCCCTGGGGCCCCTGAGCTCCCCAGGAAGTCCAGGCATGAGGGGCAGTGGACCCCTTCTGGCTTGCCCAGGGCCCAGCCTGCCTCCTCTGCCCTGGCCAAGGACATGCTGAGATGACCACCACCAGAAGTCCCTACTTTACCACAGACTCTCCAGCCTCCAGGGCTGTGGCCTTGTGTCCTCAAGGCTCTCAAGTGGACATTGATCTGATTTGAGTCACTTCTCCAAAATGCTGCCACAGAGCACTGGGGAGCTGGGGTTTTTCTGAGTATAGCCTCTTTCTTCTCACTGCACAGGCTTAGGTGTTTTATTTTCTTCTCTCTGCTGGGACCACTGGCTCCTGATGGGCTGACTGATCCCCCTGGACCTCCAAGCCAGGGGCACAGCAGGGGTGCAGGAAGTGTTTGGAGAAAGGAAACCCTAGCCAGAGGCATTTTAGAGAAATTTGCCCAAATGTGTGAAAAAGTAGCCTGGAGTCTAGGAGAATCAAAATCTGTCTTTCAGGTTATCTTGTGTGTCATATTTGGCTTTTATGTTGCTGAAAGGTAATTTTCAAAAAAGGGGAAAAAAATCATGATCCTTTTATAGATACAAAATGAACAAGGGGTAAGAAATTTAACTCCTGAGGGAGCGGGCCCAAACCAAAGAGCAGACACAGGGACAGGTTAGGAATGACAGAGCCACTGTATAAATGGAGGCAAAACTGTTTCCACTGTCTGAGAGGGAAGATAGTGAACCCTGCGTGCAGGGAGGGGCTGGAGCTTGGGCCCACAGTGCGGACATGAGCTCTCCTCTCAGCCACCCAGGCCCCCAGTGCAGTTCCTCAGAGCTGCAGGAACCCAGCTGGGTGCTCAAGTTCTCATGCAGCTGTCTTCCCGGAGTGCCTGATGGCTGGCACCCTGCAGCCCTAAATGACCAGCAGAGCCGATCCCCTGCCATGTGCAGTGACTGTGTGAGTGTGAGAGTGTGTGTGTGTGTATGGACACAGAGCACCATGCCTCTGTAGGGTGGTGACAGTCTTCCAGCAGACATGTTGCTAGATCCACGCAGAGTGGCTAAACCGATCGATCCCTGATGCCCAGTCCCAGGGACAGCCAGAGCTGTCACAGCCTCACCCAGCGCCGAAACCTCATACATGCTGCAGATGAGCCCGACTGGCTGCCTTCATCAAATTCTACCAAAGAGATCAAGTCCACGCTGCTTCAGGCTCACAGGGCTCACACCTCCCGCCACCATCTTCTTAGTCCTAGCATCTGAACAGGACAGGCAAATGTGTCCTATGGCCCCACTCTGACTGGGGCACAGAGGCCTGAGAAGGGGGCATGACCCCATCCCTGTCCTATTGGCACCCAACCACCCTGGTCAGCAACTATAAACTACTCTCCCAGCCCGCAGCCAGTGTGAGACAGAACTGGAGTTCTCCAACCCCGGGCTGGAGTCTGTAAGGACAAAACAAGTTAAAAATTAGAGGCTTAATTCTCACTGTTAAAAATGGGGAAATATACCCGATTAGAAAACTGGTAACTTTAAGTACTTTCTCCTTGTTTTGAGATGTATGTAAATCCCTTCAAAGACTAGATAGGACTTTTGTCAGATTTATGACCTGGGCTGTCTTTCTCAAGAACCTAGGAGGAACCCTTTGAAATGTAAACCTCAAGGCAGATAGCACCTTGTCTCCTGGTTTCTGTGGGGGGGCTGGAGCCTGACTTCTGCAGGGGTGTGGAGGTGTCTGCTTCCAAGTTGCAAAGCTACCTCCTGTCTTAGAGACAGTTTGTCTTTCCTTTGGACAAAGCCAATTAGCAAATCCAGGTGGTCACCCCAGTTACCAGATGGGTTTAGGGTGAACTATTTGCCAAGGGCTTTAGGAGTTCTATGTCAGGAACCAAGGACTAAGACCAGATAAGTGTTTTGTTTGTTTGTTTGTTTTAGACAGAGTCTCACTCTGTCACCCAGGCTCAAATGGGCAACCTCAAACTCCTGGGCTCAAGGAATCTCTTCCTGCCTCAGCCTCCCAAGTAGCTGGGACTACAGGCATGTGCCACCATGCCCGGCTAATTTTTCCATTTTTTAGTAGAGATGGGGTCTTATTCTTGTTCAGGCCAGTCTTCAACTCCTGGCCTCAAGCAATTCTCCCACCTCAGCCTCCCAGAGTGCTAGGATTACAGGCGTGACCCAATGTACTCAGCCTAGATCAGATACGTTTTTCAGTCATATCACAGTGTGTGGCCTGGTGTTTGTCACCTGCAGCCCTGTGCGTGCCTGTCTGTGTCAGCGCAGCTCCGGCTGTGCTTCTGGAGCACTAGCGGCTGCAGCAACCGTGGCTCCCAAACCTGGCTGAGCACTGCAGCCTCCCGGGGTATGTGAAAATCCTATACCCAGACCCCACCCCAGCCCCATTTGCCACTACAGGTGACTCAACGTGCAGCCAGGTTTGAAAACGGGCAGTTCCCAAAGTGTGGTCCACACCCGTGTTCTCTGAGTGGTGGGAAGTCTTTTGGGTTCATAACGAGCCCCTTTCAATCGCCCCTGAGTTTATGCTTGTGAAGTGACTCCTGGTGACCCCTAGATAGCTTCAGATGGGGACTGGTCACCAGAAGGACCAAGAACGTGAGGAGAGGGTAGGCACTGCCCCTCCTCACCTCCAAGGAGGAGATGGGGCTGGAGATTCAGTTCGATCTCCAGTGGCCAGTGCTCTAATCAGTCGCCTATGCAATGAAACTTCCATTAAAACTCTGGACATTGATGCTCTGGGGAGCTTCCAGGCTGGTGAGCACATTGATGGGCTGGGAGGGTGGCACACCCCGGTCCCATGGGGACAGACACTCCTGCATCCCTCAGCCTCACCTGCCGCACCTCCCTGGGGCCGTTCTTGATCTGTGTACTTCATGATGACAGTAGAGTCGTAAGGAAAGCACTTTCGGTGGCCTCAGTGAAGGCGTTCTAGTGACTTATGCTTCCTGTAGCCACGTCTTTGCCCTCTTCATGCCACCAAAACTGGCTGAGGCCTCGCAACCTCTGAGCTACAAGACCCTCACAGGCTCAGCTCCTGCTCCTGTCCCCGTGCTCGAGGCTGCCAACACCTCTGAAGGGGGTCAGACCCAGCAGATCTGGCCATGCCCCCAGAGCCATGTGGAGAGGCCTCTCCTGGCTCGGAGATGCCACCATGGCCGTGTAGTCTCCCTGCAGGTCAGCCCCAGCTGAGTGAGCCGGGCGTGGCTTCCCCACCCACCCGCACACGCTCATCACCACTTGGGATCCCCGGGGGCACTCAGGGACCAGGCTGCTGTTTACTTCATTTCTCCTGCAGGAGTCCAGGACAGACAGACATGACACGAAGCCGAGTGGAGTAGAGTTTTTATTAGCAGCAGGTAGGAGGCATTATGTGCTCTCTGGAGCTGAGGGAGAAGGTTCTTGCTGAGTGGACGTGGGTTGGTCACTCCTAGCAGCGTGGTGCTCCCAGGCGAGCTCCTCACTGGGGGGAGTCCTCTGCAGGGGACATGGGGGCCTCAGACGCAGTGCAGAGCCCAGGCAGGGTGGGGTAGTGGGGAGGGAGGTACCCATGTTCGTTGTGCTAAAGTGCCCACACCCATTGGCCCAGGGACCACATGACCTAAGATGCCGCAGGATGGCCCCTTTCCTGGTTGTGCAGGTGAGCAAGTGGAGCCCCGCACACCTCCGCCCCCAGCCAAACCATCACCTCAGGCAAGTGGGTGAGGTCACCCTCATCTGTCAGGAGGGAAGCCCGGGACACAGGTGGGCATGGGCAGTTAGCCTGGAAGCCATATCTGGGGTTCTTATGCTAGAGCTTTCCCAATATCTGGAAGCCACGCTGCTCTCTGAGGTTACGTGGCAAAGGCACAGGTTTTGCACAGGCCTAGCAGGACCAAGTCCCACCAGTCACCAGCTCCGAGCCCTTGGCCAGGCTCTGCCTCCCTGAGCCCCCTTCACTCAGTGGGACACACTCCCTACCGGAATGGCCACATCGAGTGCCCACAGAGGCCTGCAGCTGGCACAGCCTGTGGCAGCATGCAGAGTTGCCTCCTGAGCCCGTGGGACCTGCCCACGCTTGGCCCCACCTCCCACCCGGCCAGCCCCTGCATCATACCTGCCCTCAGGGCCCGCTGAAGGCCCATGGCACTGGCCGGAGGAGCTAAGGGAGAAAGCATTCAGGGGTCTCCAGGAGGCATACCTAGGACGGGGTCCAGACACCTCATGGCGCAGCGGCTGAAGCAGCACTTCTTGTTGCTGCTACACTGGCTGTCCACGGAGCACTCGTTCTGTTCCTGGCAGAGCTGCGGGAGCAGCGGGGCCTGCACCCAGGGGCAGTTGCCGGCCTTTACATCACGTACTGGGGGGAGATGGGCCAGCCCGTTGTCACTCAGAGCCCTTTTATGCTCACCAGCCTTGCTGTGCCTACCTCCCTGGACCCCTGACCTCCAAAATCCCTGCTTTACAGATGGGGAAGTTGAGGTCAGGGGGACCCTGAGGTCAGATGTATCCAGGGGCCTCTGTTCTCAGGGCAGGACTCCCCACATCCACTCTGGGGGCCAAGACCTCTAGGCCCCGGCCACAGGACACAGGCAGGTGAGCTGGGCGCACAGGGCCGAGCATGCAGGGCTGCTGTGTGGGTCCCAGGATGGTGGTCTGAAGTGCCCAGCTCAAGGAGGACCTTTGACAGAGCTGGTTCTCCCTCCCCGCACAGACGGGAGCTGGACTGTCGCCACGGGGTGCAGGGCCAGGTGGCATTACCGATGACGGGGGTTCTGCAGGAGCGGCCGCAGGCGCTGGGGCAGCACTTGCTGTTGCCGAGGCATTCCTCGTCGGTGAGGCAGGTCTTGGCACAGGACACCTCCTCAGAAGAGCTGGCCTCGGGGCACACGGCCTGCCCTGCACAGGACGGGCAGGTGGGTGGGGGCTCCACAGGGGAAGGCCTGGAGGAGGCCAGCGGGGAACGACGGGAGCCTGGCCCTCAACAGCCCACCGTGCCATTTCGTAGAAGGCAGAAAATCTACCCGAAGCATGATAGGGCTGGCAAGAGCGTACAAAGTCAGCTATGAAAACCGGGAAGCGAGGCCACAGGCCTGCTGCAGGTGGCGGGAAGTCAAGACCCTGACTAGGAGTGGCCAGGGCCCGAGCACAGCCTCCCTTACCCCATCTCCTGGCTGCCCTGCTCGCTCCAGACCCAGGCACTTCTCATCTGGGGACAGCAGCCTCCACTGCGTGGGGATGAAGCCTGCTTTTCTGTCATCCCTGCACCCCATCGCCAGTGTGCACCTCCTCTGTTCCTCTCTACCCTGGAGACCCTGTCCGCGTGACCAGACCGCCAGGGTTGGTGGAAACGTGGGTCCCACTGGGAGTGGAGATGAGTTGGGGGGACCCTCCTGGGTGCATCCCTGGGGAGAGGAGGGTGGCTTGGGCCTACCTGGCAAGATGAAGGCCGGGTCCTGAGCAAAGGCCACCTCTAGGGTGAGCAGGGCCAGGGCTAGGCTCAGGAGACAGCGCATGGTGGCAGTGTCAGGCAGGCAGGCAGCAGATGGTGGCCCAAAGCCCTGGGCTGCTTTTAAAGGACTCGAGCAGGAGGAGGGCTGGGGTGGGGCCCAGGCTGGCGTGGCCCCAGCTGGGCTGAGGTGCTTCCTCCTTGGACACAAAGAGACACCAGGTCCAGGCTTGGGGAAATGGCTGAGAGGCCTGGGGTGGCTACCACAGTCAGGATCTTGTTTTTAAATTAAAAAAAAGGATCCTAGTAAGGCTGACCATTCCCCCCCCCCATTTTAAAGTAATGCATGTTTACTATGAGAATTAAGAAAATTAAGGTCAGAGGAAGGAAGAAATAAGACCTATCATACACATGTGATGCAACAGTGATTTAGAACGATCCTGGAGGGGCCCTGCACCGACGAAAGAAAAGACTTGTCCTGATTTCATGCAAAGTCACATAGGAGGCAGATAGCAAGTGCCAGGGGGCTATCTCAGAGCGTATTTCATATCTCTTTTGGTGCCTCTTTTTTTTAGTTTTCTGGACTTTCTGAAGCAAGAATGGGCCTCCTGTGTTTGTGAACTGCATGCTCCTTGCAGAGAATGTAGGGCATTCGGACAAGGGGAGGGGAGGCTCTCTGCTGGAAAGGCTGTACAGGCCGAACACCAGGAAGGCCTCTTCCCAGAAGGGGCCCTCCTGTGCCAAGTAAGCAGGTGCCACGGGGCAGGGGCAGGACGTGCTGCCCGGCAACACGCCCCTCCGCTGTGGGGCATTTCCTTGATCCTGCTGCCTGGGGGGCTTGGACGAGGAAGGGAGCCGTGGGGATTGTGGAGCCCAGGCCTCTGCCCTGGAGACCCCAGAGGCAACCATGTGCTTACTGAAGGCTCAGCACTCAGCCCCGGACCAGGCTGCGCTCCTGTCTGGCTAGGGACGCTTGTTACAGTCCGAAGCCTCTTGGCTTTGGACACGGAGCCCCTTAGAATTTCCCCTGGGGCACAGTGCCACCGAACACTGGGATTTTCCAGCCCAGAACGCTCTTCCACTTCGACAGGGCTGCGCTGTGCCTCCTCCGTGTGCCCATGGCCTGGTGTGGGTCCCTCACAGCCCGTGCAGCCCCTGCCGAGCTCTGGGCCTCAGTGCAGGGCCCCCTGTGGGCTCTCAGGAAGTGGGTCTGGAGATACTGGCCATGGTGACTTGATACCCCTCATGCCCCTCCACAGCTCGAAGTTTAGAGTGCTTTGCATGGGCTAGTTCGCCTTCCTGGGCAGGAGGCTGTGCACAGACCGGGGCTTGGAGAAGTGAGGGGTGGGAAGGCCAAAGTTGCTCACTGGCGGGCTCTGGGGGCCTTTTTCTCCCTGTTCTCTGTCCTTTCCCAGCTACACCAGGCAGGGTTGGGCTGGAAAGTCTGAGTCTCTTAGATGGGCCTGAGGCCACAGCTTACCCAGCCAAGGAACTCAGGCCCCTGACCACAGCCGCACACTGTGGGTCCCTGCCTAGGCCCCTCCTCCCTGATGGCCCAGAGTGGCGCTCTGGGATCTCCCATCTCCACAGGGTGCCCCCAGGGCCATCTATGCAATTTTCAGGGCACTTTATTCAACGACCAGAAAAATGTGCTGGTAAAGGGACTAAAACACTAAAACAACAAAAGTTGTTTTTTCTTCTTCTGCAGTCTCGCCACCGGTCAAGGTGCTTTTTACAATGTGTCATTCTAAGTATTAATAAATAAAAGTTAAAAAGTCCTACTATTAGCACGAGTATTACCAGTCCCCTTTACTTTGTGCAATGGCAGTTTAAAGGCAAACACAAGAGCAATTAGCTTTTCTGCAGAATCTCAAATCACACAATGCTTATTTCGTAGCTCACATGGGCACATATAGAGTACAACAGAAAATGCTGCACAAAACTAACTCACCTGGTTTGGTTTCACTTATTTTCTCCTTTTTCTTTTTCTGTTTAGATCCATCTCTTGTTCTGGGGCAATGGTTTCTTTTTAAGCAGTTTGATTTTTTGCTAACATGATGACCTGGCTGACTGCATGTGTCAGACTGGACCTTCCCAGCACTGCATCAGAACCGCCATGCCCAACAATGTGGCTATGCGCACCCAAGGTCTGCTTTGCGTCTCACAGTCACTCATTCTATACGTACTTTGTATTAATGAGGATAAAAAGTTGCATTCATTATTTATTTTTATCTTATTTTTATTTATTGATTGATTGATTGAGACAGGGTCTCACCTTGTCACCCAGGCCAAAGTGCAGCAGCATGATCACAGTTCACTGTAACCTTGAATTCCTTGGCTCAAGTGATCCTCCTGCCTCAGCCACCAGAATAGTTGGAACTACAGGCGTGTGCCACCAGGCCCAGCTAATTATTTTGCTTTTTGTAGAGATGGGGTCTTGCTGTGCTGCTCAGGCTGGTTTCAAGCTCCTGGCCTTAAACTATCCTCCTGTCTTGGCCTCCTAAAGTGCTGAGATTACAGGTGTGCACCACCATACTTAGCCCTTATTTTTATCTTTTTTATTGAGATATAATTCGCATGCCATAAAATTCACTCCCTAAAATGTACAATTCAATGGTTTTTAGTGTATTTGAAAGGTTGTACAACATCTACCTCTAATTCCAGAACATTTCTATCACCCTAAAAAGAAACCTTGTACTCATTAGCAGTTACTATCTATTTCCCTCTGCCCCTACCCCCTGGCAACCACCAAGCTGCCTTCTGTCTCTGTGGATTTGCCTGTTTGGGACATTTCATGTAAATGGAATCACACAGCATGTGGCCTGTTGTGTCAGCTTCTTTCACTGAGCACAGTGTTTCTGAGGTCCATCCATGTTGCAGCATGTGTCCGTGCGTCACCCTGTTTGTGGACTGTCCTACGCCGTGGCATGTGTACACACACTTTGCTCATCCACTCATCCATCCATGGCCACGGAAAGTGCTGCTGTGAACACTCATGATTCTGCCTCTCGGCACACACGTGCCATGCCGGGCTGTCCTCCTCTGGCCCGCTGACAGCCAGGGTGGGCTCGGCTGCCCTCTTCCCCTTTCCAGCTGCTGTCGTTTTCAGCGGAACTGGCTGGCTCGTGCAGGGAAGAAGGCCTGCAGGGAAGGGCAGGACAGGGCTCCTTGGCCGCTCGTGTTTCTCAGAAGGCCACTGCGTCCTCCTGCAGCTCCAGCCTGCGGGGGAACCAGGGCCCCACTCAGCCTGCGTCTCACTGGCACCCCGTGCACACGGGGCGGCCAGACCTGGGACAGGTGTGCGACACGAGTTTGTTGCTTCTCTCACATGCACGTTCCAGTGTCTCACCAGACTTCAGTTAACAAGCACACATTCAATGGTGAAATTATTAAGCATTTCAAGATGCCACAGCAGAATGTTTAAATAAGCCCGGGCACATGTGACTGCGCAGGCCACTGGCATGAAGCAGCACCTGGAGCCCCTGGTCCTATAGCTTGTGCACTTCCCGGCCAGGCTTGGCCCCTGCTGGTCCACACCTCAGCTTAGCCTCTACTGTTACAGCTCGCGGGGGTCCAGGCTCTCCCCTCCCCCCTTCTCCGTAGCCACTCCCTGCCTGGCCAGCGACCACCTTCTGAGGAGTCCACTCTGTGGAGCCCCCGAGCTGCTGTGTCCAGAGGCTGCCCTGGCCCCAAGAACCCCCCCACATGCCCACCAGTGCCTCCCCTCTTCTCCAGGGGAGCTCCCGACCTCCGCCTGCTCTCAGGGCCCTGGGTCCCCCTCCTCCCACTCCCAGCAGCAGGTGGCTCGCTCCAACCTCTCATGGAAGAGGTCAGGTCAGGCCTAGTTCCACCCCTCTTCCTCCTCTGCTGCGCTCCCTTCATTACTGTTATTTCTGGAAAAAAGCCACAGGCATGTGAGGATGAAAACACACATAGCCCAGCGCAGGGGCAGCAGTGTGTGCCCACTCGGCCCGGCCTCCTGTTCTCATTCCTGGAGGCTTATTTCCTACTCTTTTGGTCTGTTCTCTTTAAAACTATACTTTATATACGTATATGCGCTGTTTTCCCCTTCCTTTTTCTCCTCTTAGAGGTACCTTGGGGATTGGTGCATTTAGGGACACACAGATCTGCTTTGGAATGGCTGCTTAGTGCCCACGTTGTGGGTGTGTCTGTTTGCTGGTCTCCATGGACATTTACGTTGTTTCTGATTCTTTGCTACCACAGACGACCTGCTTTGCGCATGCGGGCAGGAATCTCTGCAGGGTACCAGCGTAGAAGTGGAATTGCTGGGTCAAAGGGTCCATGTGTTGTCCACGTGGCAGGTCCTGCCCAAGGGTCCTCCCAAGAATCTGTCCCAATTCCCAATTCCTGTTGGCACAGCCAGATATGAGGGGCCAGTACCAAGCTCTGAGCTATCATTCCATCTTGCCTGCTGGGTAGATAGACCCATGGTTAACGGTGAAGGTTTTCATTTTTGCTTTTATTTATTTATTTATTTATTTTTTTGAGACAGAGTCTCGCTTGTTGCCCAGGCTAGAGTGAGTGCCGTGGCGTCAGCCTAGCTCACAGCAACCTCAAACTCCTGGGCTCAAGCAATTCTTCTGCCTCAGCCTCCCGAGTAGCTGGGACTACAGGCATGCGCCACCATGCCCGGCTAATTTTCTATATATATTAGTTGGCCAATTAATTTCTTTCTATTTATAGTAGAGACGGGGTCTTGCTCTTGCTCAGGCTGGTTTCGAACTCCTGACCTCGAGGAATCCGCCCGCCTCAGCCTCCTAGAGTGCTAGGATTACAGGCGTGAGCGCTTTTATTTATTTTTGAGACAGAGTCTCTCTCTCTTGCCCGGGCTAGAGTGTTGTGGCATCAGCCTAGCTCACGGCAACCTCAAACTCCTGGGCTCAAGCGATCCTCCTGCCTCAGCCTCCTGAGTAGCTGGGATTACAGGTATGAGCCACCATGCCTGGCTAATTTTTTTCTCTCTATATTTTTAGTCATCCAGCTAATTTCTTTCTTTCTTTCTTTCTTTCTTTTCTTTCTTTTTTCCTAGAGACGGGGTCTCACTCTTGCTGGTCTTGAACTCCTGACCTTGAGCAATCCTGCCTTGGCCTCTCAGAGTTCTAGGATTACAGGTGTGAGCCACCGTGCCCCACCCATTTTTGCTTTTGTTTAAATGACAATTTTAAACATGCAGCAAGGT